CCCTTGTTATCAAACACAGTATTGCAAGAGTTGTAGATCTTGAATTACTAATATCTGTGAATTGCCTACTAGAAAATCCCTTAGAAGTTTCTTTTCTTTTCTTTTTAATTTTGCATGTATGTGGGCAAGTTAGATCAACTCTAAATTCTTCAACCAGCTGTAACATTATGCAGTACTAAAAGCTGCTACTCAAGTCCTTAAATGCCCTATAGGATGTTTTAAGGAGAGGGATTGAGTAAGGTGTTATTTCTGGAAATTTGAGGGCTAATTGTATGTACATTAGCCTCAAGATATTTTAGTTAAATTATTTTGTTTTCTTCACATGAAATCCACTTAAATACTTTTAAAGTTTCTGGAATTGATTTTCTTTTCCTTACTCAAATTTACTTACTTGCTAATGGCCAAGGCATTTCTAAGTGCACTGCTCCTGTCTACTCGCCTTCTCAAATACTCCAAGATCAAGTTATATTTCATAGTATGGAAAAATGGAGATTATTAAGAGGAAAAGCAATTGATATAAGAGCTCTGAAAGTCATCAAAAATATAAATGTCTTTAAACTTTTATTTTATTTTATTGAAAGTCAGAGTGACGGAAGAGATGAGGAGACAGAAAAAGAAAGAGATCTTCCATCCTCTGGTTCACTCCACAAGTAGCTGCAGTAGCCAGGGCTGGGCTCTGTCAAAGCCAAGAGCCAGGAACTCCATTCAAGCCTCTCACATGGCTTTCAGATATCTAAGCACTTGAGCCATCATCTGCTGCTTTCTCAGGTCATTAGTAGGGAGCTGGATGAGAAGCCAAGCAACCAAACTCAAATTGGTGCTCCAATATGAGAGGCCAGTGTTGCAGGTGGTGACTTAATCTGTAGCATCACAATGCAAGCCATGAATATTGAAAAAAATCTTTTTGAAGGATCTTTTTAGTAAGTCCTCTGCTTTTAGGCTTAGTTGCCTTAAATATACCTTAAAGTATAAGATCTAGTCATTGAATCAGTAAATGTTAACAGAGAATTTATTTTGAATGAGATGCTGAGCTAGAGACTTTTAGAATGTCTTTTCTATTGAAATATTCCCCACTATCATCTACATCATAATTACCATTATTAAAAGTCGATTTTGGCAGGCGCTCAATAGGCTAATCCTCTGCCTAGCGGCGGTGGCACACCGGGTTCTAGTCCCTGGTCCGGGCGCCGAATTCTGTCCCGGTCGCTCCTCTTCCAGGCCAGCTCTCTGCTGTGGCTCAGGAGTGCAGTGGAGGATGGCCCAAGTCCTTGGGCTCTGCTCCCCATGGGAGACCAGGAGAAGCACCTGGCTCCTGCCATCGGATCAGCGTGGTGTGCCGGCCGCAGCACACCAGCCATGGCGGCCATTGGAGGGTGAACCAACAGCAAAAGGAAGACCTTTCTCTCTGTCTCTCTCTCTCACTATCCACTCTGCCTGTCAAAAAAAAAAAAAAAGTAGATTTCACAAAAGATGTCATGTTCCTTGCACAGTCTGACAACTCTTATCGTTAATAACTCATTTATAGGTACAAGTATTATGCTTCAATCTTGGATTCATGGGGCATTGTTGTTAACTACCAAAAGGCACTAATACATAGCCTTGAAAAATGTGTGCATACATGTTTACATTTTTATACAAAAGCAGACATGTAAAACTAAAGGCATAAACATACACAGTTTTTCATATGGAAAGTACTACGAAGTATGGGGAAGAGACAGAGGTCAAGGTACTCCAAAAAAAAAAAAAAAAAGATATTCTGAAATACAATTTACTTTACAAGGGAATATTTGAAGAAATAGTTGGCATATGTAACTATTTTGGAAGTACAGAGGCTAATTCCCAGAATTTGGTACGTTAGACTGGCCTGCACCCATGTGAGAGACAGAAGAAATTTCTGACTCCTAGCTTCAATGTGGTCTAGTCCTGACTATTGAGGTCATTGGAGAGGGAACCAACAGATTGAAGACCTTTATCTCTGCCTCTCCATCTCTCTACCAGTCTGCCTTTCAAATAAAGAAATAAAACATTAACAAAAAAGAATTTTTGGTAAGTGGAGAAACAGGTTACAGGTCACCATGTGTGTATATTCATGAATAAACTAAGTCTTTATTGAACCAATGGCTAAATATCAAGCATTGGCCCAATATGATCAAATTTGTGCTGCACGTATATTGTGTGTTTATGTGTTACACACACAGGAGGAAAGAAATTGAGAGGGTCATTTATCTATTAATAAAAATAATATTTGAGAATAACTTTAACTTTTATACCATTTTCTTGTCAGAAATTTTTACATTTCAAAAATAATAAGCACATAGTTTTGAAGGATTATAAAAGTCATATTCATTTCAAGAAAAGGTGAAAGAACCTCCCACATGCACATGGCCTTTTGCTGTGATGGTTGTGTCTCAGCAAGCCCAGGAAGGAAGTCAAGGAATAAAGATGTCATTGATGCTCTAATTTCCAAAGAAATGAGAAGACAAAGGCCCCTCATGGTACTCTGAGGGGAGTTAATTTTTTTTTTTTTTTATGCGCAGAGAGAGGAAAAAACTTCCTCAGGCAATGCACTCTGAGTGCCTCAAGTCCTCTGAGTCAAAGAGGCAGCTGACTAATTACAGCTAATGAAGTACGCCAAGTGAAGCCAGAGGTGAGCTGTGTCAACAGCTATCCCCAGGCCTCAAATCCACTTCATCATGCTGGACTTTGGCTAAAGCTAAGGTATGCTCATCCGATCCCTGCAAAACACAGTGCATTTGGGTTCACCTATTGTAAAGAGCACACATTCACATGAATGAGACCATCACCCAGCATCTACTGACTCTCACTCCTGGATTTGGTGTCATCTGGGAGGAGTTCTTCAGAAAACATCAATGTATGAATGAAACACTTCTGTGATTCAATTGATCCATTTTTGATCTGCATATGAGCATAGTTTTAAGATCATTAGAGGAGTCTCAACAGACAGCCAACAATTGAAAACAATTAGCCCAGGACTGATGCTGTGGCCTGCAGTGCCAGCATCCCATAAGGGTGCCAGTTGGAGACCCGGCTGCTCCACTTGCAATCCATCTCTGCTATGGCCTGGGAAAGCAGTACAAGATGGCCTAAATCCTTGGACCCATGCACCCCTGTGGGAGACCCAGAAGAAGCTCCTGGCTTCTGGCTTCGGATCGGCGCAGCTCTGGCCGTTGCTGTCAATTGGGAGTGGACCATTGGATGGGAGACCTTTCTCTCTCTCTCTCTCTGCCTCTCCTCTCTGTATAACTCTGACTTTCAAATAAATAAATAAATCTTTAAAAAAAAAAACAATTAGCCTTAGAGAAAGAACCCCTGTGTTCTCCTGGTTTTAATTCATACATTTATCACATTTTCTCCCAAGCTCTGTCCAAATACATTACCTCCATCAAGGTCAATAAACCACAGTACTGTTTTATAATATGGGAGGTGTGAGCTGACTATAAAAATCACCTGGCCACTTACTAAAAATATAGATTAAAAATAAATGGCCAGCGCCACGGCTCAATAGGCTAATCCTCCACCTGTGGTGCCAGCACACCAGGTTCTAGTCCTAGTCGGGGCGCTGGATTCTGTCCCGGTCACTCCTCTTCCTGTCCAGCTCTCTTCTGTGGCCCAGGAGTGCAGTGGAGGATGGCCCAGGTCCTTGGGCCCTGCACCCGCATGGGAGACCAGGAGAAGCGCCTGCCTCCTGGCTTCGTATCAGTGTGGTGCGCCAGCCGCAGCACAGCGGCCACAGCGGTCACTGGGGGGTGAACCAACAGATAAGGAAGACCCTATTCTTCTCTTGTTCTCTTCTCACCAATCCACTCTGCCTGTCAAAAATAAATAAATAAATAAATAAATAAATTAATAGATGAAAACACCTGAAAATTAAGTTCAGGATCATTATTTTAAACAGGCATTCCAATGTGAGCTTGTGAAACAAGTTTGAGAACTGGTGTTACATTCTTGCTAGAGGATGTAGCCAACTGTGGTAACTTTGATGCAAAGATTGACAGCTGTTCAAAAATTAGTAGCCTTACAAGTATTTGCTTAATTTTAATAATCAAAGCAGAGCAAAAGCTTATTTACTTTTTGCCTTGATCATGTCAAGGTTTATTCTCTTAGAGCCCTGCTGACCTTCTGTGCTATGTCCTGTGAAAAATATATCATCACCATTTGGTCTAAAAGAAAGGAATGGCTTGCTATTAAGGAAATTTCATAAGACTTAAATGTGAGGTGGTGGGATCCTTTCCAACACTCCCCATCTATGCCAACAGCCTACTCTGCAGGGTTTCAGGAGTGAGCGACTCTTCACTCTGTTTTTAGAGATCCTAATACCAAGCATTGACTGGCACTTTGCTCAGAACCACAGATTACCATGCCTGGCCTTAATGTCTCTTCTATCTACACTTGGATTGAGAATAGCCTGATACATTCCTAAGGAAATATTAAATTCTGCAATGTTGAATCCTTACTCCAATAGCACAAACAATTTCTCTTATCAGAGAAAAAGTTTGGGATACCCGCTATAAGTCCAACCAATTCTTATTTTCCTAGTACTTAGAGCAATTGCAAACTTGATAGTCAGCTTCAAGGGAACAAAATAGCATACAATCTACCAAAGTTCGCCAAGTGCACCATGTATAGGTAAAAAAAAAAAAAATGCTCCAAACTGGGGATTGTGTTTTGTGTCCATTTGTCACTCAGAAATCGGGCCACCAGGAGCAAATCATATCACCTCTCTGAGTCTCACATCATACATCTGTGAAATGGGGGAAGCAAAAATTTTCAAGTATTCCTCAAGAAACATAAAAGCTATTGTGAGATTAGATTAAAAATGTGATAAGACAAAATCTCCTATGAAGTTCTAAATGATTTTACATGCATAGAAGCAATGACAGTAGCTAGGCATCCCCTGAACAATCAGTATTATCCTCCCCAAATAGTACCTTTTGCAGTAATAGTAATCTGGCTCAGTAATTCCTAAAATTTCTTTATAGGAGACAAAATCTCATCCTCCCACAAATCACAGTCCGTGTTTACTGTGCAAAACTCACAGGGCATCCTCTATCATGGGGACTCGGTGGCACACAGCACTGAAAGAAGACTGGTCCTTCCACACTTACATGGTGAGTATACAGACTGGTCAGACCCAACGTGAAGGCAGCAAAGGAGCTGAGCAAAATAAGGGAGGGAGAAATGAAGAGATTCAAGGTTTTTGAGCAGAAGTGTTTTAATGGATGTCCTTTGGTACAAAATACAGGTTAATTTTGAAATTGAGAATAATCTACACATTCAAAATCTCCTGTGACCTGGAAGAAGCGCAAATATGACCCAGGAAATTCAGAGAGCCCTCCTGGAACACAGAGGACCTCTTCTCTGCGAGTGTTCGGAGGGATTGGTGCTGAGCCCAGTGCAGCAGAGCAGGGACAGGTCAGCCCTTTCATAAGGATAAGTTATTTCTCTATAAAAGTATGCTGCCTGACAGACAGGGGCAAGAAGCACTAATTCACAGGCTTTTAGTGGCTGACAGACACTTCACATTCATAACGCGCTCTCTGCTTGCAACAGCCATTAAACCAGTGGCAGGAGTTTGGGGCCTCCAAAGAGTGCAAGATGACCTTGGTCAGGGTCGGTAGGAAAGAGGAAAAAGAGGTAGCACGGAGAGATACTGATATCTGCTCTTCAACAGTGAAAACAGAATTAACATGACCCAAGACTGTTACCATTTAACTCAAAAGTTTCTCACCCATCTAGATAACCTGATCTTCAATGGTTTCACGTTACAATTTCATAGATTCTAAGAGTCAGGAAGAGAAACTAGATTAATCCCCTCTTGTACAGGGGTCCACACAGGGTGAGTTATCAGTTTTCTTAGATCTTGGTATACTTATTGTCAAACTCAGAATGGAAGGGGTGGTAAAGGAAGACTCATTTAATATATAATTTAGTACATCTGATATTTCTACAAAGTATATTTATCGTGTGATTGTAGATGCTAAAAAAGTGAAACATTGAACTTGCCTATTTAAATTACAGGCAAAAACGAAAGGCATATGTAGCTAGAATAATTCTAGTAATGATCATGCATATTAACTATTTCTATATGAGGAACTATACTAAATGCCTCATAGATTTTTTCATTTAGGGCTCACTAGCTCTATATGAGGCTGGGAGATTTGTTTTCTTATTTTGCAGAAAATATAGTAGAGGCTAAGTAAGGTCAAGACATGTGTTTATAACCCCATGGTTAGTGGGACGCCGAGCTGGTGTTCAATTTCAACCTGAACTCACTCCATAACTGCAGATGTGTTCAGGCTCTAAAGAGAAGCAGCAAAGGGCAGAAGCTATGAACATAAACTTTGGAGACCCACATTTTTAGTTTCAATATGGGTTTTGCTATTTACTAGCTATGAGGCCTTAGGCAAGATATCTCATGTCTCTTTGCCTCAGTTTTCTACTCTTTGAAATGGAGATTTCATCCAACTAACTCACCTGTAAAACATACTGACACGTATACTAAGGGCTACTGTGAAAGCAAATTAAATTAAATGTTTGAAAGATTTAGAACCGTCTGCTAGACAGTACAGACTTTATAAGCATTACATAGTATTTTTATTAAATGTAAAAACAGAAGAATTTTTTTGAAATAAAATATAGTCTAGAATCTCTTATGACTCAGAAAATATTGGAAAATCAATGAGTCAGGCAATATGATACTTGTTGAGAGAATGATGAAAAGGCCTGACACAATCCTTGATACCAAAAATAGAAGTTTATTATAAAATCAATCAATCAATAAACCCACTCTTTTTAACATTCACAAAACATTACAAGTATTTATAGTTATTTTTCAAATAAGGAAATTGACACTTTAAAGGTACACTTGCCAAAGATTATAGGAGCAATGAAGGACTGAAGAGAATTACATCTGGGTACTTATTTTGCTAATTATAAAATCTGTGTTCTCAGACACTCCCTTATCCTGCATCAGAAAAGTGGATGTGTCTGGGGATGGTGTTGTGGTAGAGCAGGTAAAGTTGTCGCTTGTGACGCTGGCATCCCATATGAGCATCAGTTTGAGTCCCGGCTGTTCCACTTCCAATCCAGTCCCCTGTTGATATACCAAGGAGGGCAGTGGAAAATGGCCCAAGTGCTTGGGTCCTGCACCCATGTGGAGATCTAGAGGAAGCTACTGGCTCATTGCTTCTGCCTGGCCTAGCACTGGCTAACGTGGCCATCTGGGGAATGAACCAGCTGATGGAAGATCTCTCTCTCTCTCTCTCTCTCTCTCTTTTCTCATTCTCTGACTCTCCCTCTCTATCTCTCTAACTCTGGCTTTCAAATAAATGGATGATACTTTAAAAATTTTTTAAGGTGGATGTGACTTATTATAACCTAAGAAAGGAACAGGAAATACTAGTAGCCAGGCTGACAAAGGGAGCCAGAATTTGGACTTAAAGGTCATAGCTCTTTTATTCACCGAATTCATAAAATATTTGAAATTACTAAAAATATAAAGAAAACTCTAGAATTGTTAAGGCTATTTTGTATCAGAACTGAACTATAGTTACATTTAGATCCAGTTACAGAAGAGATTTTCTACATTCCTTATAGCTAGCCTACCCATTCATCCTGCCTGGCATAAACTTTTTTCCAATATAAAGAGCAAGCAGCTGATCATCAGAACCACGTAAAAGGCTGAAAATTATAAATTTCACTATTTTCAAGGACAAAATTAGAGATAGATTCAATCTCCAAATAGGAAAGATAAAGTAATCAAAAGGAGAATATATTTATGACTCTGTAATTAGAAAGAATTTACAAATCAAGGCCCAAGAATCATAAGCCAAGAAAATATTGATGGATTTTCACACATCAACATTAAAATACAACTGGCATAAGATAGTATTGAGAAAGTTAACAGTCAGGTGCCAGATTCAGAAAAGATAATTGCCAAGTTAATAACTGATGATGAATTAATCAGAGTTCCTGAAAAAAAGCAAAAATGGTCTGTGAGCACCTAAAGAAAATGTGAGTAAGTTATTTGATTAACACATGAAGAACAACTTGAGAGATGACTTAGTTGGATGAAATATTCAACCTCAATACTGATCAGACTAATGCAAATTATGGCAATAATTAGACATGATTTTACACAATCTGAGTAGCAACTGTCAGAAAAACTAGCCCTGCAAGCTTTGTGATGGTAGGTCAAATTGTAACCCTTATGCACTGTTGATGGAACATAAAGTAACAAACGATGCTGGGAAAACTCACACGGCATTTATCCTGTCAGCATGACCACACTTTAAATATAGCCACTAAGCTCCTATGTAGAGGTCCCAGAGAAACTTTTACACAGGGACACAAGGTCTGTTTATTCTATTGTACATTATCCCTTTTTCACAGGTGGTTGTTAAGAGGTGGTGCAATCTAGGGTATATCAGATTTAAAAATGAAACACATGCTGAAGATTTACATTAGGCAATATTTAGATTTGCACTAGGCAATGTTTGGAAAGATTGAACTAGATCAAATATGGTGATGTTTATCCCCCAAAGTATGATGTTGAGGAAGAAATTATAAAAACATTAAAATATGGATAGCCATAATTTCAATGTCATAGACCTATACAACAAATCATGTATTTTTCTGACTTTGATATATGTAAAAAATATAAAAGTAAGGAAATATTTGAATAGAAATTTGTAGGTCTCCATCAGGAGAGGGAAATAAGTTTATGAGTATATAATGCAGGGAAAATAATAAATTACATAATGACTATGCACTATGAATATTAGAGTAGCTATGACTATTTGAGATAAAGAGAACAAATAAAGGCATTAGACACAATAATATTTTATCATTTATTGAATTTTAGTGCATGTATGACTCTACACTGTGTACAATTCATTAATTATCACATTTAATTTTCACAAAATATTATGAAGAAACATAATTCTAAAGAGAAGAAAATTGAAATGTCAGAAGGGAAAATTTTTAAAGGTTACAAGAATAATGAGGAGCTGATACAGAATTACTACTTAGGTCACTATTTTTCTGAGTCAACAGACTATTTTTATCTACTTAATTTTCCTACCTCATGACTGTTTCAAGAGACAGTTCTACATAGACGTATACAAAGAAGATAATAAACTAAAAACTAATGTTAGCCTGGAGGTTTTATGAATCATTTTAGTTTTGAATTTCCAAATACTATTCACCTTGGAGAATCTAAAGCAACACAACAAAAGCTAATCTTGGATCTGCTGTGTTCCATACATAAGGAGACAATAGGTAGGGATGAGATCCCCAACCCCTAGAATTATGTTTGGCAGACATTAGGTAGCGGGTGATTGTTTTTCAAATGAGAAAATGGCTCAATCAAGAGATAAGCTTAAATTGGGGTTGAAGTGGAATGTAAAACAGTTCAAGTTTTAAACAATAGACATGTCTAGACAAAGAAGATTAGAATCAAAAACTAAATTAAAGGTTGTGTCACAGATGGCGAAATCACAAACAATTTAATTTATTTGGTCATCTGGGTAGCCATTATAAGCAAGTGTCAAGAAAGAATCAGTGGAAAAGTTTGATGTGGTTTCAACAATGAATAAAAGTTAAAACCAGAGAAGTAAGCTGGTCGGACGCCAAGGTTGGTGCTCAGTCAGCACTGTGGACCGACACAAGAGTCTTTACTGAAGCCATTGCCCTGGTTCAGCTAGATAAAATAATTCCTGCCACCCTATTTCATACTGCTCTTCCTTGAGCATAAAGAGTTCATGTCTCCTGAATCAGTGGAAGAGCTTGCATAGTCTTCCTTCTAATAAACCACACCCTGTGGTGTGGCTATACTCCAAGGGGAGGTATTCATTTTAGTTTCATGATTGAAAACAGTGATTACAAGGAACACCTGAAGGTTATCTTCACCAATAACACTTTTATCTATATTCTCTTACTCTGGGACCTGCTTCATTTTTGCCTCTGTACTTGACCTGAGGCAAGGTACTTATATGTAGAATGAGAATTTCATCCCGCATTTAATAAGGATCAAAAAGCTACATTAATTAAAGCTGAACTTCATAACACAAATGCCCAAATTCTCCTGCAGAAAGCCAAGCTTATATTTGTGCTTACACTCATCAGCAATTACACTGCCAGTATGCAAAATTTCAGTAGGCAAATGTTGGCAGACTTAAATTAAATAAAGAAGAATCCTTATTTCAGAATAACCAGAGGCATCTTATGTCACCAGGAAGAATCTAGATAAAAATAGAATGCCTAGGTACTAAGAGTTGAGGCAGGCATTTATTTTCTTTAAAGATGTTTTATTTATTTATTTGAAAGGTAGAGTGATAGACATACAGAGAGAGAGAGGTCTTCCTTCCGTTGGTTCACCCCCCAAGTGGCCGCTACGGCTGGCACTGCACCGATCCGAAGCCAGGAGCCAGGTGCCTCCTCCTGGTCTCCCATGCAGGTTCAGGGGCCCAAGCACTTGGGTCATCCTCCACTGCCTCCCCAGGCCACAGCAGAGAGCTGGACTGGAAGAGGAGCAACCAGGACTAGAACCCAGTGCCCATGGGGGATGCTGGCACCACAGGCAGAGGATTAGCCAAGTGAGCCACGGCGCCTGGACCGAGGCAGGCATTTATCACAACCATTAAAACATCAGTTGAGATGTCCACATCCCGTAAGTGACTATTTGAGTTTCAGTCCTGGCTCTGGCTTTTGTTCCCAGCTTTCTGCCTATGCTTGACCTTGGGATGGTCCAAGATATTGGATCCCTGCCAACCATGTAAGAAATCTGGATTCAGTTCCTGGCTCCCAAGTTTGACTCTAGGCTAGCCCAAGCTGTTGCAGGCATTTTTGAAGTAGAACATTATACCAAGTAGCTCAAGTTGGTGGCCAGAGACAAGAATTAGAGTCATTCGTCCTGCTTAGTAGACTAGGTCCCCCACTTTTCTTGTCATTTCCTTTATATGAGCCTTTTGACCATTTTACCACAAATTTTAAGTGACCTATAACCCAATCACTTGAGTTTGTGTGTGTGTGTGTGTGTGTGTGTACTGCTATCTATTTGCCCCACTAACTCAACATTACCACCCCGAGCCCTACTAGACTCTTCATTCCTGTCCTGGGTGAACCTGAGATGAAGAACTGCTTGCTTAACTCATTGTGCCCTCCGTTCCCAGCATCTGTAAGCAAAAATCTGAGTTTGTTTTCTGTTGTGGAGATTTATTGAATTTTTGACTTCCATGGGGAGAACCAGTGATTACCTTAGTCAAGGCTTTCCCTGATATACTATGGACAACAGAGATATTGGGCTCCTAGCACTAGAGTAGAAGTCCTGCAGGCATACACTATACACAGGTCAGACAAGAGCCACAAGAGCCTCTGCCAAAATAAGCAAGCTTCCCATGGGAAGGACCCTTGGCCACAGGCCATCCAACAAAAAGGAGTATCTTGCAAAAGGAAAGCTATAAATGTTTACATTCAGCCTCCCTTAAGCCGCCATTAAGGCAAGGTACTAGATACCGTGGTTCTGGAACCCCAGTGTATCTGGGGCTCCCAAAACATACACACACACATGTACACACACACACACAAGTTCAAATTCAGCTGGGTAAAGTCTGGGACAATAAATACTAACATGGTAATTCTCTTTCTGAAACTCCCAGTAATGATTCAGTGACTCCCTGCCTGCCTGCCTGCCTTCCTCCTCCTCTTCTTGCTCTTCCTCTTCCCCTTCTTGTCCTTCTCCTTCCCCTCCTCCTCCTCTTCCTTCTTCTTTTCTTCTTCTTCTTCTCTTCTTCTTCTCCTTCTCCTCCTCCTCCTACTCCTCCTCCTTCTTCTTCTTCTCTCTCTCTCTCTCTCTCTCTCCCTCTCCCTCCCTTCTTCCCTCCCTCCCTCCCTCCTCTTTGAAAGGGAAAGAGAAAGAGAGACCCTGACTCTTCCATTTGCCAGCTCACTCCCCAGACAGCCAAAATCTCTGAGATGAAGCTAGGGGCCAGAATCTCCTTGTGGTCTGCCACATATGTGGCAGGGACTCAAATCCTTGGGCCATCATCTGCTGCATTTGAAGCCTATTAACAGTGAGCTGAATCCCAAGTAGAGTAGTCACAATTCAAGCACACTCAGATATAGGATGCAGGCATCCCATGCGGAGACTTCACCCACTGCACCATAACATCTACTCCAAATTAGCTGATTTTCAGTTAGCGAGTTATTCTTCTCACTCTGCTTCAACTCCTATATGTTAAATGGGAATAATGAAAGTTGTCTTTTATGTCTCATAGAAATCTTATGGGTAAATTAGATTACACACACCACACACACACACACACACACACACATATACATTTGGAAATTGTGATACAAATAATTTGGAAAATGTGATACAAACTGCTAATTATTAGTGACTATCTATGGCCAGGAAAGATACACTTTAATTAATAATTTCAAACTATAGAAAATTTTATTTTCTTTCATGTATGGATACAATAGTAGAAGGAAAAGTGTGAACATTCAAAATTTAGGAAATACTTATTCAAGATGGAATTGAAAACGATTTGCAACAGAGAAATTCAAAACAGGAGACATTCTTAAATTCAATAAAATATATAAAGAAACACTGGTTATACCCACAAAGTAATGAGGTGGCTTCCTGGGAGAAATGAGACTATGCAGTGAGAAAGAAAAAGTGGAACACAAAGAACATAAGAATAACTGGACAGGGGCCAGTACTGTGGTGTATCGGGTAAAGCTGCCACCTGCGATGGGTGCCAGCATCCCATATGGGTGCTGGTTTGAGTCCTGGCTATTCCACTTCCAATCCAGCTCTTTGCTATGGCCTGGGAAAACAGTAGAATATGGCCCAAGTGCTTGGGTCCCTGTGTCTGTGGTGGAGTCCCAAAAGAGGTTCTTTGCTCGTGGATTTGGATTGGCCTAGCTCTAGCCATTGTGGCCAGTTGGGGAGTGAACCAGTGGGTGGAAGACCTTTCTCTCTGTCTTTCATTCTCTCTGTCTGTAACTTTACTTCTCAACTAAATAAATAAATCTTCAAAAATAAATGATTATAGAGAACTTAACCCTCTTTAAGTTTCTTTAAATATTTCAATGTAATATTTGTGTCTTTATTCTTATTCAACTATTTACATATGTACAGTTTCACCAAGAATTACTGATTTAATATTATTTCCAGATCTCCTCTTATTGCCTTTTCTTTCCTGGACTTGAAGTCCCTCATTAAAGTCTTTAAAATATGCTCAAGGTTTTAAAAACAAATCAACAGATGATTTCTTTAGAGTGGTACATCCTCCTGAAATATTAAATGCATTATTAGGAGCTTATGAAGGATATTAGGACCATAAGAAAGAAGTCTTGAGAATTCACAGGCAGTCAAAGTGTGGCTGGAAACATAACCAAACTCTTAACAACAGAGAGCAGTTGTAGATTTTAGTGATTTAGATGGCTTGGTATAATGAGATAAACCTGAACTTCAGAGTAAAAATATCTGGATTTCAATCCTCTCACTATCATTTATTAACTGTGGGGAATACTCAGAATGTAGTATCATGGCCAAGGGGCATATTTGATCTTATTTAAAAGAAGAAAATTGTCTGCTTTCTAAGGTTACAGAGAAGAAAAATGAAAACAAAAGGAGAGCGTATATATGTAAGGACTTCATAAGCAATAAAACATGATACAAATTTAATACAGTTTTGCTGTTCTTACAAACACAGAACTAAATACTCTATTCTAAAATTATTTGAATTCAGTAAAAGTGTGTGATATTCTAACAAATTGAATCCCCTATAGTCATAATAGCTATTATTTATTGAATTCTTATTATTTGCAAAGCAGCATGCCATGTGCTTTACAACCCTATCCAATTTGATTCCTGAAATACAGTCAATTTCACTAGCAGTTAACTGTGGATGTGGAATTAAATACTGGCCTACCCAGGCCTGCAAGTAAAATATCCTCATTATCTTTATTTTGTCTTGTTCCTCAGAGCCTCTTCGTATACAAGTGCTTAGGTCAATCTTTGCTTCCAAGCACTGAAAAACACTGAATATTACAGATTAACTATCCTACATATAAGAGTTCTTCAATCCTTTCCCTAATCTTTATAAGAAAAGAATGTTATAATATCCCACATCTTGGACTTGTCCCAAGATGGCAGAATAGTGAGGGCGCGCACCGATTGTCCGGGAAAATTTAGTTTAATGAAAGTGGAGTTACGGTAGCCTCAGAAAAAGGATCAGGAAAAAATTGCAGAGGAAACTCTTCCAGATCTAGTGGCTGTGACTCAGAGGACCTACTGGGAGAGCAGGGTCGCCCACCGCATGGAAGCCGAACCGCGGGAGCCTCAGAGTCTGCGCGCCAGTGCGGGAAGGGGAGTGGATGTGACACAGACACCAGCGGGAGAGGAGGGACGCCCAGGGCTTCGAGTCCACACATCGGCGCTGGAAGGTGAGGTGAGCTCAGTAACCGGAGACATTGGCTGGGAAACAGCGGACAGAATTTTAGAGGGAAGTGGGCTTTGAAGCGGGAGAGTTCACCAGACTAACTACAGGAGAGAAGGAAAAAAAAAAAAAAAAAGGTGGGGGCGTACTGATACAGACAAGTTTCTCTCTCCACCAACCTTGCAAAGGCAAGCAAGAGACAAAGAGCAAGCCCCGCTTGGGATATACATAATAAAGGGGGAGTATTAAGGCTACAATTCAATAGCCTAGGCAACCCAGTGGGAGTCTGCAGGAGAAACCGAGCCTGCACAGACTCTTTGGGTAGAAGCCAGAGAGTGGAAGCTAAATACCATCAATGCTGCTCAGCCTTCCAGTATTACCTACCTCCTGAATAAAAAATAAAATAAAATAAATAAATGAATAAATAAATAAATAAAGAGGGATTTACCATGCATAACCTAAGGGTGTCACCTTTGCACACCCATAACCCTGAAGAACCAAGCAGAGCTCTCAGGCAACACCCATCTCAAGCCTCCAAGGCTCCTCCAACAGCAGGCAGTCCACTTAACACAGACATAGTATAAAAAAAAAAAAAACTCACGGTGAGGGAAAAAGAATTAACCATGCCAAGCAATAAACACAGAAATCGAGGGAACAAGATCAACAATGACACTATGACGCCTCCAAATAAACAAAACACCCAAGCCAAGATTATGAAGATGATGAGATAGAAGAATGCAAGATACGGATTTCAAAAAATTTATGATAAGAACATTTAGAAGTTTTCAAAAGCAAATCCTTAAACTACAGAAATCCTTATTGGACAGGATTGAAAATCTCTCTCGTGAAAATGAAATTTTAAGGAAGAATCAAAATGAAATGCAGAAACTAGTAGAAGAGGAAAGTGTGATAGTGAAATCAAAATGAAATGAAGAGCTCAATAGATCAAATGACAAACACATTAGAGAGCCTTATAAACAGAATGGGTGAAGCAGAAGAGAGAATATCGGACTTAAAAGACAGAGAACAGGAAAGGATACAGTCAAACCAAAGAAAAAAAGAGGAAATCAGAAATCTAAAAAATATTGTTGGGAATCTACAGGATACTATTGAAAAAACCAACATTCGGGTTCTAGGAGTTCCTGAAGGCAGGGAGAGAGAGAAAGGATTAGATGGCCTTTTTAGTGAGATACTAGCAGAGAACTTTCCGGGTCTGGAGAAGGACAGAGACATCCTAGTACAGGAAGCTCATAGAACCCCCAGTAATCATGACCAAAAGAGATCCTCACCATGACACGTTGTAATTAAACTCACCACAGTGAAACATAAAGAAAAGATCCTAAAATATGCAAGAGAGAAACGTCAGATTACTCTCAGAGGTTCTCCAATCAGACTCACAGCAGATTTCTCATCAGAAACACTACAGGCTAGGAGGGAATGGCGAGACATAGCACAGGTGCTAAGAGAGAAAAATTGCCAGCCCAGAATATTATATCCTGCTAAGCTCTCATTTGTGAATGAAGGTGAAATAAAGACCTTTCATAGCAAACAGAAATTGAAAGACTTTGTGGCCACTCGTCAGGCCCTGCAAAAGATGTGCTACACTCAGAAACACAGAAACACGGCCATCAATATGAAAGAAGGTAAAGGAAGAACACCTACCAGTAAAAGAGCATGGGAAGCTCAAAGCATATACTAGAAAATATCTCCGGGAAAATGGCAGAGCAAAGTCACTATGTATCAATAGTCACATTAAATGTTAATGGTCTTAACTCTTCAGTTAAAAGACACCGATGGGCTGATTGACTTAAGGAACAACACCCAACTATTTGTTGCCTACAAGAAACACATCTCTCTAACAAAGATGCATGCAGACTGAAAGTGAAAGGTTGGAAAAAGATATTCCATGCCAACAAAAACCAAAAAAGCAGGTGTAGCCATATTAATATCAGACAAAACAAACTTTAATACAAAAACTGTTAAGAGAGACAAAGAGGGACACTATATAATGATTAAGGGTTCAATTCAACAGGAAGACGTAACTATTATAAATGTGTATGCACCTAATTACAGGGCACTGGTCTATTTAAAAGATATGTTAAGGGACTTAAAGGGAGACTTAGACTCCAATACAATAGTACTGGGGGACTTCAATACTCCACTCTCAGAGATAGATAGATCATCCGGACAGAAGATCAACAAGGAAACAGCAGATTTAATCGACACTATTGCCCAAATGGATCTAACAGATATCTACAGAGCTTTTCATCCTACACTTAAAGAATTTACAGTCTTCTCAGCAGTACATGGAACCTTCTCTAGGACTGACCACATACTAGGCCATAAAGCAAGTCTCAGCAAATTCAAAAGAATTAGAATCATACCATGCAGCTTCTCAGAACATAGTGGAATGAAGCTGGAAATTAGCAACTCAGGAAACCCCAGAAGTATGCAACACATGAGACTGACACATGCTCCTGATGACACTGGGTCATTCAGAATCAAAGAGAAATCATAACTTCTGCAGTAAATGAAGAAACACACAACATATCCAAACTATGGGATACGGCAAAAGCAGTATGAGAGCAAGTTTATAGCAATAGGGGCCTATATCAAGAAATTGGAAAGGCACCAAATAAATGAGCTTTCAGCACATCTCAAGGACCTAGAAAAACTGCAGGAAACCAGACCCAAATCTAGTAGGAGAAGAGAAATAATTAAAATCAGAGAAGAAATTAACAGGATTGAATCCAAAAAAAAAAAATTACAAAAAATCAGCCAAGCGAAGAGCTGGTTTTTTGAAAAAATAAACAAAATTGACACCCCATTGGCCCAATGAACTAAAAAAAGAAGAGAAAAGACCCAAATTAATAACATCAGAGATGAAAAAGGAAACATAACAACAGACACCACAGAAATAAAAAGAATCATCAGAAATTACTACAAGGACCTGTATGCCAGCAAAAAAGAAAATCTATCAGAAATGGATAGATTCCTGGACCCATGCAATCTACCTAAATTGAACCAGGAAGACATCGAAAACCTAAACAGACCCATAACTGAGACAGAAATTGAAACAGTAATAAAGGCCCTCCCAACAAAGAAAAGCCCAGGACCAGATGGATTCACTGCTGAATTCTACCAGACATTTAAAGAAGAACTAATTCCATTTCTTCTCAAACTATTCAGAACAATCGAAAAAGAGGGAATCCTCCCAAATTCTTTCTATGAAGCCAGCATCACCTTAATCCCTAAGCCAGAGAAAGATGCAGCACTGAAAGAAAATTATAGACCAATATCCCTGATGAACATAGACGCAAAAATCCTCAATTAAATTCTCGCCAATAGAATACAACAACACATCAGGAAAATCATCCACCCAGACCAAGTGGGATTTATCCCTGGTACGCAGGGATGGTTTAATGTGTGCAAAACAATCAATGTGATACACCACATTAACAGACTCCAGAAGAAAAACCATATGATTATCTCAATAGATGCAGAGAAAGCATTCGATAAAATTCAACACCCTTTCATGATGAAAACTCTAAGCAAATTGGGTATAGAAGGAACATTCCTCAATACAATCAAAGCAATTTATGAAAAACCCACGGCCAGCATCCTATTGAATGGGGAAAAGTTGGAAGCATTTCCACTGAGATCTGGCACCAGACAGGGATGCCCACTCTCACCACTGCTATTTAACATAGTTCTAGATGTTTTAGCCAGAGCCATCAGACAAGAAAAAGAAATTAAAGGAATACAAATTTAGAAGGAAGAAGTCAAACTATCCCTCTTTGCAGACGATATGATTCTATACTTAGAGGGTCCAAAGAACTCTACTAAGAGACTATTAGAACTCATAGAGGAGTTTGGCAAAGTAGCAGGGTATAAAATCATTGCACAAAAATCAACAGCCTTTGTATACACAGACAATGCCATGGCTGAGGAAGAACTTCTAAGATCAATCCCATTCACAATAGCTACAAAAACAATCAAATACCTTGGAATAAACTTAACCAAGAATGTTAAAGATCTATACGATGAGAATTACAAAATCTTAAAGAAAGAAATAGAAGAGGATACCAAAAAATGGAAAAATCTTGCATGCTCATGGATTGGAAGAATCAACATCATCAAAATGTCCATTCTCCCAAAAGCAATTTATAGATTCAATGCAATTCCAATCAGGATACCAAAGACATTCTTCTCAGATCTAGAAAAAATGATGCTGAAATTCATATGGAGGCACAAGAGACCTCGAATAGCTAAAGCAATCTTGTACAACAAAAACAAAGCTGGAGGCATCACAAGACCAGATTTCAGGACATACTACAGGGCAGTTGAAATCAAAACAGCATGGTACTGGTACAGAAACAGATGGATAGACCAATGGAACAGAATTGAAACACCAGAAATCAACCCAAACATCTACAGCCAACTTAATTTGATCAAGGATCTAAAACCAATTCCTGGAGCAAGGACAGTCTATTCAATAAATGATGCTGGGAAAACTGGATTTCCACATGCAGAAGCATGAAGCAAGACCCCTACCTTACACCTTACACAAAAATCCACTCCACATGGATTAAAGACCTAAATCTACGACCTGCTACCATCAAGTTATTAGAGAACATGGAGAAACCCTTCAAGATATTGGCACAGGCAAAAAGTTTCTGGAAAAGACCCGGGAGGCACAGGCAGTCAAAGCCAAAATCAACTATTGGGATTGCATCAAATTGAGAAGTTTCTGTACTGCAAAAGAAACAGTCAGGAGAGTGAAGAGACAACCAACAGAATGGGAAAAAATATTTGCAAACTATGCAACAGATAAAGGGTTAATAACCAGAATCTACAAAGAGATCAAGAAACTCCACAAAAACAAAACCAACAACCCACTTAAGAGATGGGCCAAGGACCTCAATAGACATTTTTCAAAAGAGGAAATCCAGATGGCCAACAGGCACATGAAAAAATGTTCAAGGTCATTAGCAATCAGGGAAATGCAAATCAAAACCACAATGAGGTTTCACCTCACCCCGGTTAGAATGGCTCACATGCAGAAATCTACCAACAACAGATGCTGGCAAGGATGTGGGGAAAAAGGGACACTAACCCACTGTTGGTGGGAATGCAAACTGGACAAGCCACTATGGAAGTCAGTCTGGAGATTCCTCAGAAACCTGAATATAACCCTACCGTTCGACCCAGCCATCCCACTCCTTGGAATTTACCCAAAGGAATTTAAATTGGCAAACAAAAAAGCGGTCTGCACCCTAATGTTTATTGCAGCTCAATTCACGATAGCCAAGACCTGGAACCAACCTAAATGCCCATCAACGGTAGATTGGATAAAGAAATTATGGGATATATACTCTTTAGAATACTATACCGCAGTAAGAAACAATGAAATCCAGTCATTTGCAACAAAATGGAGGAATCTGGAACACATCATGCTGAGTGAAATAAGCCATTCCCATAGGGACAAATACCATATGTTCTCCCTGATCGGTGACAACTGACTGAACACCAAAAAGGAAACCTGTTGAAGTGAAATGCACACTATGAGAAACGGTGACTTGATCAGCATAGCCCTGACTGTTAATGAACAACTTAATACATTATCCCTCTTAGTACTTTTTTTGTCTGTTCTACTTAATATGACTGGGTTAATTCTATAATTAATACACAGTTATTCTTAAGTGTTGAAATTTAACTGAAATGTGATCCCTGTTAAACATAAGAGTGGGAATAAGAGAGGGAAGAGATGTACAATTTGGGACATGCTCAAGCTGACTTGCCCCAAATGGTAGAGTTAGAAACATACCAGGGGACTCCAATTCAATCCCATCAAGGTGGCATGTACCAATGCCATCTCACTAGTCCAAGTGATCAATTTCAGTTCACAATTGATCATAATGAAAGGACTAAGAGTCAAAGGGAGCACATAAACATAAACCTGCTAATACTAACCGATAGAATAAATAAAGGAGAGAGTGATCCAACATGGGAAGCGAGATACTCAGCAGACTCATAGAATGGCGGATGTCCTAATCAGTACTCTGGCCTCAGAATCAGCCCTTAAGGCATTTGGATCTGCCTGAAAAGCCCATGAGAGTATTTCAAGCATGGAAAGCCAAGACACTCCGGAAGAAAAAAAAAAAACAAACAAACAAACAAACAAAAAAAACCTAAATGAGGGCTCTCTGTGAGTGAGATCCCAGTGGAAAGAACAGGTCTTCAAAGAAGGAGGTACCTTTCTCTGAAGGGAGGAGAGAACCTCCATTTTGACTATGACCTTGTCTAAACAAGATAAGAATCGGAGAACTCAGAGGGCTTCCATAGCCATGGAAACTCATGACTGGAGCATAGGGAGATTACTGATGCCATAAACAAGAGTGTCGATTTGTGAAGTCAACAACAGGAGTCACTGTGCACTTACTCCTCATGTAGGATCTCTGTCCTTAATGTGCTGTACATTGAGGCTTAATGCTGTAACGAGTACTCAAACAGTATACTTCACTTTGTGTTTCTATGGGGGTGCAAACTGTTGAAATCTTTACTTAATGTATACTAAACAGAACTTCTGAAAAAAAAAAAAAAAAGAAATTATCAATTCCCAACTTGACTCTCACTGGGATTAAACATGACAATAGGTCTGATCTGATTTCATCATCATTTAAAGAGTCATCTATTATTTTTCACTTTATGTTTCTGTGTGGGAGCAAACTGTTGAAATCTTTACTTAATGTATGCTAAACTGATCTTCTGTATATAAAGAGAATCGAAAATGAATCTTGATGTGAATGGAAGGGGAGAGGGAGTGGGAAAGGGGAGGGTTGTGGGTGGGAGGGACGTTATGGGGGGGAAGCCATTGTAATCCATTAGCCGTACTTTGGAAATCCATATTCATTAAATAAAAGTTAAAAAAAAAATCCCACATCTTATCTAGCAACCCAGCATTAGCTGGGCTAATTAACCTAATTTTCCTCCTTTCTTAAACATATGGATTTTTGTCCATATTATCCATTATTTATCTTAATTTCCTAGAAAAGACCTCAATTGATATTTCTTGATCAACATATATATGTATAAAATATTTTAATGTAGATAATTATTTTAACTTCCATTTTCTAGATGAGAAATGGTAATGCTGATTTATGAATGTGTATTTATCTCATTCAACTTACTCAACTGCCCCATTTGACAACTACAAGCCTAGTGTCCCAGATGACTACTGTTTTATTAACTACAACTTTGTATTTCCAAGATGTTCTCCTTACTTAAAAGCAAGTTCTGTGTCTCATTCAGTTTATAATGATGGGCCTCGAGGGCCAAAAGTTTGTTCCAGATCATCCAGTGAGGTCAGGGGATCAATATATGATTAACATCAAAAAATTTCATTTCATTCTCCTTAGCTAAAAAGACAGAATTTGATG